CCAAGCCCTGGAGCCAGGGAAGCTGAGCGCTTTTGTATAGGAGGCTGGCTTGTGCTGGGGACTCTCGGCTTGCTGACCCACAGAAGTGAAGCGGAGTGCCTTCAGGCTGAGTCTTCACTGGAATGGGACGAATCTGGGCACTTAATTTAGGAGATGGCTTTGCAGCCCCACAGAGCTTGAGCTAAACGCCTTCCGGTTGAGGCTTTGAGTGGAGTGGTATGCCCCTTTGGGCATTTATTAGCAGACCTAAAAGAACTTTGTAACATGTCCTGATAACTCAACCCTGAACATTTCTCATTGGCATTAAAACTTCACAACTTTCTGAATAAATCCTTTAATCATTAATTTTTGTCTATGGGTTCTGTGTAGCCATTGCAATGGATATTAGAGCCTAGAGATCAAATAGAGAATGCCCATTAAACAACACACTATTACCTTCAGTTCAAATATTTGATAACAAGTAGTCTTCAAGCTTGTTGAACTTTCTAAATGTACATTTAAGTGATTATACTGATAATCACATACTAGGGCATGTAAAAGTTTGTGAGAAAATTCCATTAACTTTTCATTCCATTTTCCATGAAATTTTTGAAAACCTCCCGTGTGATAAATCATATCGATAATGACATAATGATTTTTATGCTTGATGAAGGTAGAATCTATTTAGGAATAGTAGTTTACAAGTCCTATGCTTGAGAAGCTGGTTTTGTTAGTGTTGTCTGTGTTTCTGTTATAGTAATTTATTTGCAATTTCATTATTGCTTTCACTTGCTTCTTTAAGGGAACTAGTAAGTTAAATAACATGATTATAAAGCTGCACCTTTTGTCAATATAGTTAAAATGTAAATTTCCTTAAGGTTAAATTAGCAACTCATTGAGTACTAACATTTTTATGGGAATACAAAGAAGACATAGGATGTTCCCTTAGAAATGTATAATACAAATTACTATTATTTTTGATACAAATTATGTTTGAATGGCAATTCTGAAGCTGCTGTTGCTGCGTGCCATGGGTTGGTTGCACCTCAGAGACACTGGACAACAGAAGGAGACTTGGCTCTTGTGCCGTCTTGGGCTGGAGCCCTCTGTTGGAGCCGCTGTCTCGTCCCTCTCATTGAGGGCCTTCCTCCGCTTTTTCACTGCCCTTGTAATTTGGTTGGTTTTGTTCATTGAGAGTAAGTCAAAAAGAATTTCTGTTGGGGTCACAGTTAATACAGCATAAATTTATTCCAAACAAACTGCTAATTAACATGTCTGCGATTAGTAGACAGCTGCAGAAAAGTTT